ACAATGTACGAGCTTTATTTGAAAAATACAAAAGTCGTCACTGCCAACAACGCCTTTCAACTGTAAAATTTTTTTTTTTATTTTTTGAAATTTTACTTATAATTTAAAATGACATTTTCTTGATCACTTGATGACGTGGCCCGGAAAGTGTGAACTCGCCTTATCCGACCTCAGCATCGTAAATAATGTAGTTGGCCTTATTTTGTACACATGTATAACGTTTATAGTAAATACATAACCTTCGTTAAAAAACAGTTAAGTTCTTAATTTATTACCCACCTTTATCGCTGCACAGTAAGAGTTCAAATCTCTACAAGTATAACTTGTCTGTCTCAGTTAAAAGTTCAGCATAATACCATAGATGGAAAAGAATTAGCCTGCAACATTCACTATCACAAGTTATTTATGGAAAACTGATAACGAAAAGAAAAAATAATAATAGCTAAATGTTGAGAAACAATAAAAGTGGAGTAGTTAGTATACAAACTATTGCTGGAAAAATGTTTACATCTTTTATTTACGATGGAAAGTGTACCCAAAAAAAATCTAAAACAAAATCTTCGAGAAATCGAAAAGTTGAAAAATTGTACATGTTGTAACTCCATCGCCATGTTTTCCAATTTTTTATTTTCTACGGCTACCTTCGTTTTTTAGTGCCCTGAGTAAGCTAAGAAATTTCATTAGTGCATCGGGCGATTGGCTATTTTCATGTTTTGTCGACGTTTCATGACCACTGAAAAATAAAATTGCCGTTTCCGTCTGCCTATCTGCCTGTTCGGATTTATTTCATTTATTTCACGACGTCGTTTACAAGTATTCCAATAGTAATGTTATTTAAATTCTATAAAATAACGTACTTCATCATTTGTAGTTTATGAATCCGTATTGAGTTTTTAAAGGCATCCAGAAAAAAATCAAAGTTGTAGATATAACAATTTTTCGATTTCTTAATTTTTAGAATTCTCCAATTCTCGATATTTCAGTTTTGAAGATTTTCAATTTTTTTCCTCAATTTTTCGATTTCTCAATTCCTCAATTTTTCGATATTTCACTTTTACGATCTTTCAATTTTTCGATTTTTGAATTTTTCAGTTTTTGACGTTTCTAAATTGTTCAATTTTTCAATTTCTGGATTAATCGATTTTTGATTTTCCCATTTCCCGATTTATAGATTTTTCAATGACTCGATTTTCCAGTTTCTCAATTCGTCAATTTATCGATTTTTCAAATATTTTAAGTTTTGACGTCTCTAAATCCTTGATTCTTTGATTGATCAATTTTTCAAATTTCGAATTTTCAGTTTTTCGATATTTCAATTTTGGGATGTTTCAGTTTCATTATTCTTCATTTTTTCGATTGCTCACTTTTTCAATTCTTCAAATTTTCAATGTTGTACCTTCAGGACTTTTCATTTTTTTTTATTGTTCACGTTTCGAAGTTTTAGATTTTTCAATTATTCAATTTTTCCATTAATCGATTTTTTGGTTTTTCCACTTTCTGATTTCTTGACGTCCTGATTTCTCGTTTTTTTGAATTTTCAGTTTTTCAATTCGTCAATTTTTCCATCCTTCGACTTTCGATCTTTTCATTTCTCGACTTCTCAGTCTTTTAATGTTTCGTTTGTCGATATTTCAGTTTCTGAACTTTTCAACATTTCAGTTTTACGATCTTTCAATTTTTCGACCCTTCAATTTTTCGATTTTTGGATTTTTCAGTTTATGACGTTTCTAAATTTTCAATTTTTCGATTTCTCAATTTGTCGATTAACTGATTTTTTGATTTTCTCATTTCTCAATTTCTAGACTTCTCAGTGGTTAAATTTTTCAGTTTATCAATTCGTCACCTTATCGACTTTTCAATTTTTTAAGTTTTGACGTTTCTAAATTCTTGATTTTTTGATTTTTCGGTTTCGCAGTTTCTCCATTAATCGATTATTTTTTGGTTTTTCGAATTTTCGATTTCTCAATTTTTCGATTCTTCAGATTTTCGATTTCTTGATTTTTTTGAATTTTCAATTTCACAATTTTTCAATGTTGTACTTTAACGATTTTTCAATTTTTCGATTTTTAATTTTTTTTTCACGTTTCTAAGTTTACGATTTTTCAATTTTTCAATTTCTCCATTAAACGATTTTTTGGTTTTTCAACTCTTGGAGTTATAGACTTCCTGATTTTTCGTTTTTTTGATTTTTCAGTTTTTCAATTCTTCAATTTTTCCGTCTTTCAAGTTTTCGATCTTTTGATTTCTTGACTTCTCAATCTTTTGATGTTTCGTTTCTCCATATTTCTGAATTTTGCGATATTTCAGATCTTTCAATTTTTCGACCCTTCAGTTTTTCGATTTTTGAATTTTTTAGTTTTTTACGTTTCTAAATTTCCAATTTTTCGACTTCTCAATTTCTCGATTAACCGATTTTTGATTTTCCCGATTTCTAGACTTTTCAGTGTATCGGTTTTTCAGTTTCTTCAACTATTCGATTTTTCAATTTCTTAAGTTTTGATGTTTCTAAATTTTTCATTCTTCCATTTTTCGATTTCCCAATTTCTCCATTAATCGATATTTTGATTTTTCGGGTTTTCGATTTCTCGATCTTTCATTTTTTTAATTCGTCAATTTTTTTTTTGCATTTTCGATTTTTCGACTTTTGGATATTTCAGTTTTGGGATGTTTTAGTTTTCTCATTCTTCAACTTTTCGATTTTTCAATTTCCAGATTTTCAGTTTTTCAATTTCTCGATTTCAATTTTTTTATCGATCAATTTTTCGGTGTTCCAGTCTGGGAATTTTTCAATTTTTCGATTCTTCAAATTTTGGATTTCTCGATTTTTTATTTTTCGATTTCTAAATTTTCCGATGTTGTACTTTTACGATTTTTTTATTTTTCGATTTTTCAATGTTTTAATTATTCACGTTCCTAAATTTTCGATTTTTCAATTTCTCCATTAATCGATTTGTGGCTTTTCGACTTTTCGATTCCTTAACTTTCCGATTTCTCGTTTTTTTGACTTTTTAGTTTTTCAATTTTTCAATCTTTCGACCTTCCGTTCTTTCGATTGCCCGATTTGTAAATCCTTTGATGTTTCTTTTCTCGATGTTTCAGTGTTTCAATTTTCCGATTTGTCGGATTTTCGATGTTTCTTGAATTTTTCGGTTTTTTGATGTTTAGGTTTCTCGTCGGTGTCGAAAATTTTAAATTTTAAATCTTTTGATATCTCAATTTCTCGATTTCCAGATTTTTAGATTTTTTATTTCTTGGATATTTATTTCAGTTTTTCGAATATTTAAATTTTAGATTTTTAGTTTTCTGATATTTCGATTTCTCGATATTTCATTTTTAGATTTTTGGGTTTTAGATTTTTTTGGAATTTAAATTTTTCGATTCTTCAGTTTAATTTTTTAGTTTTTCGATATTTCAGTTTTGGGATTTTTCAATTTTTCGATCCATCAATTTATCTTCTATTTTTCATTTTTCGATATTTTAGTTTCGATTTCTCCATTTTTTACTTTTTCGATTTTGAAATTTTATGTTTTTCGATTTTTCGATTTTTTGATGTGTTATTTCCCGATTTTTCAATTTTTCGATTATTTATTTTTCAGTTTTTAAAATTTCAGAATAATTCATTTTTAAATTTTTTGAAATTGCAGTTTTTCCATTTTTCAATTTTTCGAATTTTAAAATTTCAGAATTTTCAGTTCTTTGATGTGTCGACTCCTCGATGTTTCGATATTGCGAATTTAAAATTTTGTTTTTTGAATTATTGATTTTTCAAGTTTTCGGATTTAAAATTTTTCGATTAGTCAGTTTTCGATTTTTCAGTTTTTCTATTACTCCATTTATAGAAATTTCGATGTTACTGATTTTTTTATCGTTCAATCCTTCGATTTTTTGATATTTCGATTCTCCAGTTTTTCTGATTCTTCAATTCCTCAATTTTTTAGTTTTTCGATTTAATTTTCCGATTTTTCAATTTTTATGATTTTTAAAATTTCGCATTTTCGATTGCTCGAGTTCTCGGCTTTTCGACTTATCTATTATAAATTGCAGATTTTTCGATTTTTCAATTTTTAGATTTTTCGATGTTTGGATTTCTCGATATTTCAATGTTTCGAAGTTTTATTTTTCAATTTTCTAAATTTTGAATTTTTTAAATTACTCATTTCTTGCTGTCTCGACTTCTCGATATTTCAATTTTTTTAATTTTACGTTTTCTCATTTTTAAATATTTAGATTTTAGATTTTCTGATATTTGATTTCTTGACATCTCAATTATTCGATTTTTAAAATTTTTGGACTTTTCGATTTTTATATTTCTCGATTTTTCTAGTTTTCGATTGCTCAATTTTTTAATTTTTCAATTTTTGGATTTTTAAAATGTTTTGATTTCTCAATTTCTCGATTTGTCGATATTATATGTATTTAGTATAATTTTTCGACTGTTCTACCTCTCCATATTTCGATTTTTGTGTTTTTCGAATTTTCGAAAAGCAGTTTTTGCCATTGGTTGTCTGCTTTAAAATTATTCTTAGTGTCCGCACTTGTACTGACCACGACCCCTTGGAATTTGCGGGGGCTGCGGAAGTATTAATTAGGCAACTGGTTTTGCGGGTTTGTTGGGCTGCACTTCAGGGGCGAGGGAAGTTCAGTTGATGTAACCTTCGATCAGTTTTTTTTTGCTCACACTTTTATGTCATATATGCCATTTTCCAGTTCATCTACTTCGAAATAAATTTAAAAAGAGCCATTCGTGCAAAATTTGCATTTTTTTGACGTTTTATTAAAAAAAACTGAAACAATAGGCTGAAATTCTACTTCCTGTGCAAAAATGACTACTGAAATGCGTACTTACCCACATTTCACGAAAAAAAAAGGAAACAAATATTTACCCTGGGCAACAGCTTCTTGAAATTCAGGCACATTTTCATTTTAAAATATATTATTTCGTAATTATATACAATACTTTTGGACAGAGGTACATTATTTACAATAAATATGAAATATAGACCTTTCTGGAAATTTACCACGCGGTAACGGGGGCGGCCAAACGGGCACCGGCTGCGTAAGTGGCGCCCTGTACAAGAGCTGGGGCAGAGCGGAGCACGGAAGTGGTGGCGAAGGCGGGGGCGGAGCGGACAATCGAGGCGGTGGAGAAGGCAGGGGCGGCGGCGGCATAAACGGGGCCGGCGGCATAGGCGGGGGCGGAGCGGACAATCGAGGCGGTGGAGAAGGCAGGGGCAGCGGCGATGGCGGGAGCGGAACGGACAATCGAGGCGGTGGAGAAGGCAGGGGCGGCGGCGATGGCGGGAGCAGAGCGGACAATCGAGGCGGTAGAGAAAGCAGGGGCAGCGGCGATGGCTGGAGCGGCGGCAATAGCGGGAGCAGAGCGGACGATAGAGGCGGTGGAGAAGGCAGGGGCGGCGCTGAGAACGGGAGCGGCGGCGATAGCGGGAGCGGAGCGGACAATAGAGGCGGTGGAGAAGGCAGGGGCGGCAGCGATGGCTGGGGCGGCACGCAGAACTGGAGCGGCGGCGATGGCGGGAGCAGAGCGGACAATCGAAGCGGTGGAGAAGGCAGGGGCGGCGGCGATGGCTGGGCCGGCACGGAGAAGTGGAGCGGCGGCGATGGCGGGAGCGGAGCGGACAATCGAAGCGGTGGAGAACGCAGGTGCGGCGGCGATGGCTGGGCCGGCACGGAGAAGTGGAGCGGCGGCGATGGCTGGGGCGGCACGGAGAACTGGGGCAGCGGCGATGGCTGGAGCGGCACGGAGCACTGGGGCGGCGGCCACGGCGTGGCCGGCGGCGACGACGGCGGGTTCCTTGCGTACGACGGCGTTGAATCCGTTGAAGTCGTCGGCGGCGTAATCCACTACTCGGCGTGTGCCGTCGGAGTCCAGAAGAGAGTATTGTCCTTGAACGACGTCTCCGGTGCGGCTTTCAACTTGACTTTTGACGTCTCCGGTCAAAGGGTCTTGGACACCGTAGCCGAAGGTGTAGTGAGGATTACCGGCTTGGGCAGCGGCGACCAAAGCGGCCAGAAGAAAGTATTTGAAAGCCATGTCGTTGCTTGGGTGGACTCAAATCAAAGAATGCTGACTCGGAGCACTAATTTGTTATTTATATCAAAAATTAACCCGGTTCGTTAGCACTCTTTTGCGGAATAACGAGATAACAAGAAGTAGAACTGACCTTCGCCAAAAAAAATGCATCTATAAAATTTTAAACCACTTAGTTGGATATGAATAATTATCTTTATGTATTTCAAAACAATGCAAAGTTTAAGGATATTTGACACAACTGGTCCTGTGTGCGGATGTGTGGTACAAAAAGAAAAACGCGAGAACAAAGGACGACTACAAGCTCCACCCAATAAATCAAATTAATATATGGAAAGGACGAATATTAAAAAACAAATAAATTCGTCTAAATTTTTGAGGTCACGCAAATAAATTCTTCCTATTTTGAAGCCTATATAAATAAATGGAATCACAGTGGGGCGTGTTTCATAAATCCTTCGGGATAGAAGCTGCATAAGTCGAGCTAGTTTACGACCACGTCAAATTTAAATTAATAATTACAGATCACCCAACATCTAATTACTGTAATTTAGCACAACTCTTCCTGCACACGTTTTTTTTAACCATTTCAAAATATTCTTCAACGCCTTCGGTACTAAGCAAGGATACTTCGACGCGGAACTAAAAAAACTTAAGGCGATAATTTATTACATATTATTTGATTGATTACGAGTATGCGTAACTAGAAAAAATCTTTCATCAGATAAACGAATCTGGTGTAGTAGTCGTAGCAATGAACTTTATCACTAGTAAAGAATTAAAATATTAGGTGACTGACTTTTCAAATATTGTGTCAAAGGAACCTTGCGCTATGTGGGTCAATCCACTGGTCCAATTAAATCTGTAGCACATTAAACGTTCAATAAATAATTCATTGATCGTAGGTACCAACTTTTGTAATACGGAATGTTTCATCGCGTGGCTCTTTCCATGAAATCGTTTCTAATCAAATGACACAACAGCATTTTAATAATGCAACAATTGCAAATTCTGACGATTTCCAGAATTTTACTAGAATTTAGAGAAGCTGCAATTAGAATATCTTATGCAACCTGATATCGGTACTTGGACTTGTTGTTTGACTTTTTAGAACAACGAAAATAGTAAAAAAAACTGCAGATCAGGTAATAATTAGTTTAGTTCAGTTTGAGTTAGTCTTTAATAGTTTTTCGTTTGTATACGAAAAATAATAGTGGATAGGTCCACTAAAAATATTTTTGGCAACAATGTGTCCATTTTTGGGATTGTCTTGCGTGCATGATCCGTACAACGTGTGTAATCGAATATTTTCGGTGTGTAGTGCACTTATTTTTAAATACGACTTGTGTGACTAGTTTTTGAAGTTGCTAATATTTGTGAAGTGGAACTGCCGATTTAACCTTATCCGAGGCGTGGTCATTGTGAAACTTAACCCGCGCAATTCTGAACATTTGCCAGATTCAAAATCAAGTGGTGAAAATCCACTATAAAAGCGCGTGCGATACGGTTATCATCACATTTCAGTCAACATCAACGCAGCAATGGCTTACAAGGTAAACCGTCTCGTAAAATACCACCCAAATCTAATTTTTTCCTTTCGCTAGTTCGTCGTTCTTAGCGCTTTGGTCGCCTACGCCAGCGCCGGCCTCATCAGCGCCCCGGCCACCCTCTCCCACGCCCCCATCGCCTACGGAAGCTACGGAGGCTACGCCGGATACGCCGCCCCCATCGCCCGTGCCGTGGCTGCCCCCGTGGCCGTCGCCGCCCCCATCGCCCCAGTAGCCCGTTATGCCGCCCCAGTCGCCGTCGCTGCCCCCATTGCCCGCGCTGTAGCTGCCCCCGTCGCCGTCGCCAAGACCGTCGTAGCTGACGAATACGACCCCAACCCACAGTACTCTTTCGGATACGACGTCCAAGACGGTTTGACCGGAGACTCCAAGAGCCAGGTTGAATCCCGCTCCGGAGATGTCGTCCAAGGCAGCTACTCCCTCGTTGACCCTGATGGTACCAGACGTACCGTCGAATACACCGCCGATCCCCTCAACGGATTCAACGCCGTAGTCCACAAGGAACCCCTCGTCGCTAAAGTCGCCGCTCCCGTCGCCGTCGCCGCCCGCGTCGCCGCCCCAGTCGCCGTAGCTGCCCGCGTCGCCGCTCCTTTGGCTTATGCCGCCCCAGTTGCCAAATATGCCGCTCCCCTCGCTTACTCCGCCCCCATCGCCAAAGCCTACCTTGGTTAGGTCTTTCTAATGTACATAGATAATTTATTAAAACGTACAAAAAAATGAAAAGTTACAACTGAGTTTTTTTTAACTTATGCACTATTTTGGTTGACAAAATCAATACTTTTGACATTCAAATTAACTCTTGATTAAACACTAGTATCTAATAAGTGACAGTTCTGGGCTAACATTGTCGATGTCATTGGAATCCACTTACAGCCAGATCTGAATGGAAATGTAGTACCAAAACTGCATTATAAAAGTGTTAATAGATCAAGATTCTATCACGAAATAACATAAAACTTGTTTACATTTAGTTAATAATCATTGATGTTTGTTTTGATTTTTATTAATAGTTTTACAATAATGGTACCAATTTGCTACGAATTAAACAAATATTCCAGTAATAGACACTTAGACAAATAATGGCATACGATTTTGATATGCGAAAGCGGTCAAGTTGGATACTTAGTCGACTTTTATTTTATAGTTTATCTAACTTGGGTGCGACATTGCATCAGGCTGGTAACGTAAATTTGATAATAATAATTCAATTACACAGTTCAGAATGTTCAGTTTAACAGTTAATAAGCCAGAGCTTGGTCGGTTAAGATAGTAAGAAATTGCATGTTATGTTCACTTGGTGAGATCATTCACATAGAACACCGCATTGTACAGTGCACAATATGAATTAAATTTTCGGAGCGCACAAAATTAAACACCGCTCACGTTATTCATAGGAATTATATTCAACGGTACATTATTAAGTTCACAAGTCTAAGTTTGGGAAAAATCATTAAAAAATTCCTTACGTCAATTGGACGTTCACTTACAGAAGCAAAACATCGATGTAGACCGATAAATAAAAAACTCTAAAAAATGTTTTAAGTTTTTTGATATATTGTAAAATTAAGAACACTGTGAATGAATACAAGATACCTCCAAAATTATTTCGAATAATGGAAGTCTAATTGATTTCATGTATCCAACACTACTCGGTGAATTAGAATATGTTAAAAATAAAAGTTAAATTTTGGAGGGTTATATTTTCTACATTTGGGCCCAAGAATTTTTGAAATTATTTTTTCTCTGTTCTATAAACAGACCTCAGTAAGGTGTCATAGAGTTGGCACTTTTTCGGCACCCTGTATAATCCAAGCTTCGTTTTGTAAAAAAGTGTAGCTGCAACAAATCTGCATTCATATTCTTGATGACTCGATTGCGAGAGTGAGAAAACCATAACTGAGAAAATAATTGACATAATAAGTACTATAGACGACATACAGAGTGATTTTTTGATTCATCATCTAGTTAACCAAGAATTTCTTGATAGCACAAATTCGGCCCAAAAGTAGGTCGTAACTTAACAGTTTTGAAAAAAATACAAAATTTGAATAAAATTATCACTTATTTCACCTTGTTCTTAAAAAATGAGCATTATTCTGATGAATTATGAATTATGGGGTTATCATCCATGACTTGTTGGACGTTCTCAACAGCCTCGGGAGTTCATTTTGAAGTTAAAGATAATCAGATACACAGTAGTTGACTCGCCTAAGTACTAGAGGTTCCATATTTTCTGAATTGTCATTTATAAAGATGAGAAAGAACAATGGGTCCAAAATTGAGCCCTGAGGCACGCCTGAATATACATCATGTATAGTTGTTCAAAAATATTTCAGTGAGGGTTGTAATATTATTAAGGCTCGGATTGTATACAAAATGCTTCCTATGCGGCATATTCAGAAAAAAAAATGTCTATAAAAATGTATACATATTTTGTATATTTTTCAATCTTACCGCATATTTACTTATTAAGTGTATATTGTTAAGAAATAAACCCATACGCCGCCCCGATTCGACGCCTATGGGTTTTCTAGTATGTGGGGCGATGAAGGGTGACTCATCGTCGGTGACGGCGGCCGGACAGCGTTCGCTAAGAAAAGCCTGGAAGCGGAAGTCGCGATGGGTACTCCAGAACAAGCCTCGAAGCGGTACAATGTTATAAGATTTATTTAGAGCACATTGCACTTCAGCCGTCGCCACGAGCATTCTACGAGCCACAGGATGCTACTGTTTGTGAAAGAATGTTTGTCGTTTAAACACGTGCCATAAAAAAATTCCGATGAATAATTATTGTTACTCCATCTTACGATTACTTTACCATGACATTAACAATGATATAATTGAAGATGTCACGGACGTACAATGCCATCGTTCATTCATTTAGAAAAGATTGAAGAGGAAAACCGCTACGATGCGAGTGAAATTTTTTACCATGAAACTTTTGCTTTTAAAAAAATAAATAAAACGAAATAAGTACAATTTAGGTGCGGTATGTAAATTTCAATTTGATTTTAACACGTTTACTGGTAAAAAGCCAACTCACGTGACACTTCTTGTGTTTATCAGTCAACACACTTTTATGGTTGTGAAATCAAGGACGACCGACGACCATGTCGTAACCGAAAAGAAAATTGCAATCTAAAATCACTTATGACGGATTGATAAAATCTAAACTACCGAAGTGACGTTGTGAAGGAGTCTCCACGTTCCAAGTTACGCAAATTCGCAGCCATTGTATTCGTAAAAGTCTGGTAAAAATAATTAATCGATTGTTTATCGGTTCGAAAAAAACCAGATCACCCATTTCTTTGCTCTCGAAGCCGCTAACCTAAGTGATATAACACGAAGAACCTGTACTTGAACGACTTAACCTTATTCAAGGTGCGGTAATTATGAAACTCACCCGCGCAATTTCAAACGTTAACCCCAGTATAAAAGCCGACCACAATGTTGGAACAGCCAGCACAAGTCAGTTGACAATCAAGTAACAACAATGGCATTCAAGGTACACCAATTACCAGCTCAGCAATTTGGATTTTCTAATACCGAAATTTTCTTTGTAGCTCGTCGTCCTTAGCGCTTTGGTCGCTTACGCCAGCGCCGGCCTCATCAGCGCCCCGGCCACCATCTCCCACGCCCCCATCGCCTACGGAGGATACGGAGGATACGCCGCCCCCATCGCCCGTGCCCCATTGGCCGTAGCCGCCCCCATCGCCCCCGTAGCCCGTTATGCCGCTCCCGTCGCCGTCGCTGCCCCCATCGCCCGTGCCGTAGCCGCCCCCGTCGCCGTCGCCAAGACCGTCGTCGCTGACGAATACGACCCCAACCCACAGTACTCTTTCGGATATGATGTCCAAGACGGTTTGACCGGAGACTCCAAGAGCCAGATCGAATCCCGCTCCGGAGATGTTGTCCAGGGTAGCTACTCCCTCGTCGACCCTGATGGTACCAGACGTACCGTCGAATACACCGCCGACCCCATCAACGGATTCAACGCTGTTGTGCACAAGGAACCCCTTGCCGCCCCCGTTGTCGCTAAAGTAGCCGCCCCTGTGGCCTATGCTGCCCCCGCCATCGCTAGAGTAGCCGCCCCCATCGCTAAGGTCCACGCTCCCTTGGCCTACTCCGCCTCCGTCCTCCACTAAGAAGTGACTTGTTCTGTTGTTTAATTTATTATGTTTCGTATAATAAAAAATGATTTCAATCGATGAAAAATTTTGTATTATTGGTGAAGTTTTGGATGAGGTACTACTACATGATATACAGGGTGGTGCAGTATTTGCACTGGTAAAATCATAAATTTCGTCCTCTATTATTTGAAACGGAAAATTAATTCTTGTCATGCCGATTATCTGATTCAGAATTGGTTAAAGGACATCTGTCACTGGTAAACAAGAGACAGATTAATGGGTTAAGATTTCGTTCTAAAAATGTAGTATGTGCCACAATAGTAAGATACAAATGAAGTCATTAATCATGTCGTGATATCTGGTGTTTTTAAAAAATTACATTAAGTTTATTCACAATTAAATATACATTAAATTAAGAACTATTAATTGTTATTATCACTAATTTTCGTGTTAATGAGCTCAAGGAATTTACTGGTTATTTAGAAATTTCGTTATTTTCGACTTACCAATTCAAAATTTCTTTATTATGTTACAGTCTTGACCATAATTAACTAATGTACTTGAAGTATGGAAATCGTTATCTCGAAATTTTGATCTTATTAACTCGATAGTTTGATTTTGTTAAAATAAAAATTCTACTGATCATTTCAAAATTTCCCAATTGAGGTTAATTAATGTGAAGTTTTAACTTATTACCTTCAAATTTCAACTTTGTGTATTCAAAGAATCTATTGGTTTTCTAGAAATTTATAATTTTCAACGCACACACTCCTTTTGCTTGCTTGATTCGAAAATTTGACTTCACCAAAATTAAAAATCTATCTCGGAATTTCCTCGTTTACAACCTACATATATTCGAAATTTTCCCTTTTTATTTTGTAGTTTTCAGCTAATTAATGAGAAATCTAAACTTATTGCCCCTAAGGTTCAACTCAATGAGATTAAAGAAAATTCTAGATATCTAAAAATCTAATGATTTTCAACTTACGATTTCAAAAATTTATCTTATCATATTACAGTTAACTATTTTGGAATTTTAAATTACTACCTTCAAATTTGGGTCCATTATCTCGGAATTTTAAACTAATTAATTCTGCATTTTGAATTTGTTAAAGTGAAAATTTCAAAATTTTGATTTATTATTTCCGATTTTGGATCGAAATTTTATCCTAATAAATTCGAAATTTTGAAATAATTAAAATGAAACTTCAAAGAACTTTGATTTATTATTTCCGATTTTGGATCGAAATTTTATCCTAATAAATTCGAAATTTTGAAATAATTAAAATGAAACTTCAAAGAATTAATTCCAAATTTTTTAATTCACAATTTACGAACTGCAAATTTTTCCTTTTTATTTTGTAATTTTCAGCTAATTATTGTGAAATTTTAACTTATTATCTCCCTTAAGTTTCAACTCAATGAAAAAAAAAAATTCTAGGTTGATTTTTTAATTACGAATTCAAAATTTTCCTTTGTCACATTACAGTCTTGACTTAAATAGTTTGACAATTTGACTTACTACCTCCAAATTTGAGTATAATATCTCGAAATTTGAAATCCATTAACTCAAAATTTTGAATTTGTTAAAATGAAAATTCAACAAATTATTTCAAAATTTTTCAAATCACAATTTACGAATTTGAAACCTTCCCTCTTTATTTTGTAAGTTTCACCTAACTAACTCAAAATTGAGACTTATCTCTAATGTTCGAAGGAATAAGCCTCAGGAAACTTCTGGTTATGTAGAACTTTCATAACTTTCGACTTACGAATTCAAAAATTTCCTTTATTAAATCTCAGTCTTGGTTTACTTATGTATATCGAAATTTTAATGTGATTAACTTGAAATTTTGACATTGTTAAACTTTTAACTTATTTTTTTTTCTCATATTACGGTCTTCACTTAATTATTTGAAAATTTTGACTTATTATCTCCTCCAAATTTTTTAATTCACAATTTACGAATTGGAAATTTTCTCTTTTTATTTTGTATTTCGAGATTTCAAACGAATGATCTAAGGAAACTGCTGGTTGTCTAGAACACTCAAAACTTAAAAAAAGTCATTTACCATATTACAGTCTTGATTTAATTATGTTGTAATTTTGGTTTTTAGTACTTGCTAAGATAAAACTGATATTGCCAAATGAAGAAAATAATGGGTGGGTGGGCGGGGCCAATACTTGCCAAGATAAGACTGATTTTGCCAAACGATATACTCGATACCTTTTATTTTCTTAGAGGGTATGTCATTTGCCAAAATCAATCTTATCTTGTCAACTACTAGCCCCGCCCACCCGCCCTTTGTTTTCTTACAGAGTAGGTCATTTGCCAAAATCAGTCTTATCCTGGCAAGTACTAGCCCCACCCACCCGCCCTGTATTTTTTAGAGGGTATGTCATTTGGAAAAATCAGTCCTAGATTAACAAGTGCTAGCCCCGCCCACCCACCCTTTATGTTTTGAGAAAGTAGGTCATTTGCCAAAATCAATCTTATTTTGGCAAGTACTAGTACTTTTATAGACCATAAGGCCTGGAATTCTAAATGTTCCTTTTTTGCTTTGAATAAAGCTCCAGAAATCTTTGGAATCAACCTAGAACGAAGACGTTTAAATGAGTCATGAAGACCCACCCGTTTTGTATTTTGTAAAAGCACAGCCTCACTAATATTATCTCCAAATTTGGATCCACTGATAAACTGATAAACTAGAAATTTTAATTAATTAAAATGAAAATTCAACGAATTTTTTCCAAATTTTTCAATTCAAAATTTACGATTTGGAGATTTTCCACTTTTATTTTGTAATTTTTACCTAATCAGCTTCAGATTGTTTATTGTTTCAAAATTTTCTGTTCTCAGATCACAGTCGTGACTTAATTATTTTGAAATTTTTATTTATTATCTCCGAATTTGGATCCATTACATCGAAATTTTATTCTGATAAATTCGAAATTTTGAAATAATTAAAATCAAAATTCAATGCATCATTTTCAAATTTTTAAATTCACAATTTACGAATTGGAATTTTTCCGTTTTTTATTTTTTAATTTTCACCTACTTACCTAAAAATTTTCGAACGAATGAGTTTAAGGAAACTGCTGATTATCTAGACCTTTCAAAATTTTTGATTTACTATTTAAAAAAATTCCTTTATCATATTACATTCGTGACTTACTTATCTTGAAATTTTGGTATATTACCTCCAAATCTGGATCCATTATATCCAGATTTTATACCTATATACTCGATAGTTTGAAATTTTGAATTACTTGAAAAATCTTGAAAAATTGTGGTAAAAAATCTTGGAAAAATTTTGATTTTTGGGTAAAAATCTTGAAATAAATCTTGAAAAATCTTGAGTTTTGTAAAGATCTTGAAAAATCTTGCAAAATTTTGGAAAAAGTCTTGAAAAAAATCTTGATTTTTTGGTAAAAATCTTGATTTTTTGGTAAAAATCTTGAAAAAAACCTTGGAATTTTGAAAACTCTTGAAATAATCTTGAAAAAATCTTTAAAAACCTTACAAAAAATCTTGAAAATCTTGAAAAATCGTGAAAAAATCTTGATTTTTTTTTGTTAAAATCTTGAAAAATATCTTGAAAACGTTAAAGAAATCTTGAAAAATCTTCCAAAATCGTCAAAATTTTCAAAAATCTTCAACAATTTCTGAAAGTGACCTTGAAAAAAATCTTCAAAAATTTGCAATCATTTTTTAAAAACCGTGACCTTGGAAAATCTTTAAATTTTTTAAAAATCTTCAAAAATATTCAATTTTTTTTGAAAAACATGACCTTGGCACAAATCTTCAAATAGTTTCAAAAAGCTTAAAAAAATCGTCAAGAATTTCCAAAACTCTTCAATCGAATCTTAGTTAAAATGGAATTTCAACGAATTCTTTTCAAAATTTCCTTTCTATTTCAAAACTTTGGACTTTATATACTTATTCCAAAATTTCTTTTCACATTATGAGAGTCCTGACTTAATTATTTTGAAATTTTGGTTTATTATCTCCAAATTTGGATCCATTATCTGAAAATTTTGTACTGATTACCTCGAAATTTTGAATTTGTTAAAATGAAAATTCCACGAAGTATTTCGAAATTTTCCAATTAACAATTTACGAGTTAGAAATTTTCCTTCATTATTTTCTAATTTTCACTTAATTAGCGCCAGACTGAGGTTCGGTTAACATGAAACTTTAACTTATTAGCCATAACTTCCAAGTTAATTAACTTAAGGAATCTGTTGGATATCTAAAAATGTCATGATTTTCCACTTACGAATTAAAAAATTTCCTTTATTATGTAACGGTTTTGACTTAATTATCTTGAAATTTTAGTTTGTTTTCTCAAAATTTCAATTCATTATTTTCAAATTGTGAACTGATTAACTTGAAATTTTGACTTTGTTCAAATTAAAATTTTAGGCATTATTTTGAAATTTCTTGAATTACAAACTATGAATTCGAAATTTTCCCTTCGTGCAGTCAAAGAATCAGCAGCTGTTTATAAAATTCATAACTTTTGGTTCTCGAATTCCAAAATTTTCTTGATTTCTTGCATAACAGTTGTGACTTTATTAAGATGAAGTATTGATTAAATTTCAATTCATTATCTCGAGAATCTATTTAGAAAATAATGGGTCATCTGTAAATGTATTTGTGTAACGAATACAGTTTGTTTGAGGCTTTAGCCGAGTTAGAAAATATTCCGAGAGCTCTAAATCCGTTTAGCAAATAAGCGACTATTTTTTAAAACTTTAAACAACGCTGACAAAAACAAACTTAAATAATTTATCACTTCGATATTGTTTCAAAAACAAAGAAAGCTTTTTTGCGTAAACGCCCTCGGTCAATGTGTCTTTTGATGGATGCTCTCTTACGAGTAATAGAACTTGGTTTCTTTTATACTGCCTACCACACAAGAAGTTTGGGCTCGAGTTCTTGTTTAAAAATAAACTTATCCCAGGCCAGAACGCCAATTTGTAAAATTGAATTGGGGACAAGAAGGGTAGAAAAATCGACTTACGAGTCAAATTCATTATAAATATTGCGCAGAGACCCATCTGTTCGGTAACCGTGATTGATTTTCCATTATTGTTCCCCAATAATGCAAAATTTATGGTGTCGTTGTGGCACTTTGACTTATCTGGGTTTTTGCACTTGACAGTTAAAAATTAAGGTTGTTTCGTCCGTTATGAAATAGTTGATGAATAGTGTAAAACTATGTCGAGCGAGTTTCAGTTTTCCTTTCTTTTTTCTGGTTGTATTTGTTTGTTATATATTTAAATTTTTGTTTTTTATCTACTTTTGTAAATAATTTAATGTACATATTTGATTAATTTTATTAACAGTAATAAAAAGTAAGAGACCTGCGTTTACTCCTCTTTTGTAGCACCCTTTTATCTCCCCCTAAATTTCAGCATCCACGCAAAAGTGTGAGATTTAGAGCCCGATTGTTTACTTACCGCCCACGGGCATTTTATATTGCCGGCAATGTAAACCTATTTCGTTAAACGTGTAAACATATTACAGTCTAGTTCCGAATATTTTCACCCAGACGAGCGAAATGATAAAAATTTAATAAAAATTGCATTTGAAACCTACTTCTTAGATAAGAAAAGTGACACTGAAAATCTGTTATCACGTGTTAATGGAATGTCGTCAGATTAGAAGTACCCACTCTTTTATTTTCTTGTACGCTTATGCATAATGTTAACATATTTGACATAACACGAAGAACCTGTACCCAAACCATAACCTTATTCAAGGTAAGGTAATTATGAAACTCACCCGCGCAGTTCCAGCGTTTACCCCAGTATAAAAAGCAGACCCAATATCCACATATCCAGCACAACTCAGTTATCGCTCCAGCAACAACAATGGCATTCAAGGTACAAGCGTTATAAAATAAACCTAGGTTTTCTACTAACGAATCTTTTCACAGTTCGTCGTTCTTAGCGCTTTGGTCGCTTACGCCAGCGCCGGCCTCATCAGCGCTCCGGCCACCCTCTCCGCCGCCCCCATCGCCTACGGAGGTTACGCCGCCCCCATCGCCCGTGCCGTAGCCGCCCCCGTCGCCGTCGCCAAGACCGTCGTCGCTGACGAATACGACCCCAACCCACAGTACTCTTTCGGATACGACGTCCAAGACGGTTTGACCGGAGACTCCAAGAGCCAGATTGAATCCCGCTCCGGAGATGTTGTCCAGGGTAGCTACTCCCTCGTCGACCCTGATGGTACCAGACGTACCGTCGAATACACCGCTGACCCCATCAACGGATTCAACGCTGTTGTGCACAAGGAACCCCTTGCCGCCCCCGTTGTCGCTAAAGTAGCCGCCCCTGTGGCCTATGCCGCCCCCGCCATCGCCAAGGTCCACGCTCCTTTGGCCTACTCCGCCTCCGTCCTCCACTAAGAAGTGACTTGTTCTGTTTGTTTAATTTATTATGTTCAAAATAATAAAAAAATGATTTCGATCGATGAAATTTTTGTATTATTTTTGTTGAAGTGAAAAGGAAGAGTGTGCAGTGAAGCAATGTGCATACTATCACAGAATTGTGTAATGGCGTACTGTTTGCATTTACAACACGGCTGATATTCGTATATTTTAAGAAACAAGAAGTGAATAGCAAAATCACTCGTTGCAAATAACTGCAATAATTGAGTCAGTTGGTGTGGATAAGTCTTATTTACACAGGAATTTTGCGTACATGATCAGCAAAAAAATAAGCTTTGTCTGTCATTTACGCTTGGGGAGGTATTAGGTACAGACAGTGCTTTTGTGTATGGTTGACTAATCGGTTTCCTAACACCATAAGAATCATCGCAAGCAAGTTTAAATTGACCTAAAGATTTTTACATTAGACGCTTCAACAAACACGGGTATTTCATTAGAATCCTATGTCTATAGAATTTGTAAAAAGAACCATCCAAATCTACGAAAATTTATTGACAATATGAAAGCAAAGACTTTTGTCGTCTTGTCTAAATATGAATTATGATCATATTCTTAATCGTTACAGTTTAAAGCTTACATAAAATATTGTAAATATGGAACCGCAAAGTTTGATGAATAAAAAGCGTCCTCAAGTTGGCATTCCAAGAACAAGTTGTCGTTATCACCTGTTGGGGCGCACTGGGGGGATGCCAGTTTTAGGATTTGACTTGATTTGACCTCATAATCTTGTACTAAATATGACATAAGTAAGGATTTACTCCATTCGCTAAGATTAGAATCATTTATTAAATAATTGCATATATTATATTGCATGGTTCCACAGATAAATTCACGCCAGAACGCTCAATAATATTGTCGTTTAAGCAAAATTAATACGTCGTGTAAATTTTCTTCTCCTTTGGTTCATAAATGAAAGTAATATTATTATTGCTGTTTTTATGGTTGTTATTATTACAGAAATATTTAATGTGAGATGGAAACAATTATTTCTCGGATAAAAAAAACCTTAATTAATTTAGGATACTGAAGAAATTTTTATGCGGCTACAAAAAAGGTTTTAAACAATGCGACAAAAAATGCGAAGAGAAAAGATGACAAAAAATGCAAGAAACACGCTATTAAAAAAAAGTAACGAAGAGACGAATAAATGTCCATAAAAAAGGCGACAAGCAAGGCTGAACAAATTAGGATAAAACAAGAGGCAAAAAAAGTCCGTTATAAGAAGACAGAAAAAAGTTACAAAAAAGTAATTTAAATAACGGCTGAGAAAAAGGCAATAAAAAGTGTGAAAAAAAGTTTTGAATAAAGTGAGAAAATTCAAAGCTTTAGAAAAACGTTAGAAAAACGAGGAAAATGCGATAAGAAACATTAAATAGGTGAAAAAAAAAATGCGTTAAAAATTGACCAAAAACGCGCCACAAAGAAAGTCTAAAAAAAGCGTGAAAAACTGCTAAACGAGTACTTCAAAAATGAGTAGAAAAGAACGCAAAAAGGCCCTTAAAGACAGTCGTCTTGAATGAGGAAAAATTGACAAAAAATATGCTTTAAAAACAGTGGGAAAACGACAACAAAAAAGGTGACAAAAGGTATAAATAAGATGACAAAAGGCGAAAAAATGCGAAATAAATAACAGGAAAAAGTATCCAGAAAAAGCGATAGAAAATCTACAAAGAGATACAAAAATGTGGACAAAAAGCTAAAAAAAAAAGACAAAAAACGTGGCAGAAAATGGGAAAAGAAGATGGCAAAGAAGTGACAAAAGGGGAACCAAAAGAACGAAAAGAAGACAATAAAAAGCGATAAAAAAGGAGAGAAAGAAAGGCAAATAAATGTGAAGACAAAAAATCGACTTCAAAAAAAGCGCCAAATAATTTGGGAAAAAATTAGAACAAATTAGTATAAATTTTGATTAACGCTTTACTATCTTACGATAACTGGAAAATGTTTGCAAGATTGCAAAGTATTCGGTTTTGCAGTTTCAGAGTTAAATTGCAGAATGTTTTCTTACAAATTTTCATTTTTTTCAGGTAAAATTGAATGAAAATCCTTTAATTTTACAACCATTAAAAAATATTTAAAATTTTCTTGAAAACAGAATTAACTATGAGGTAAATTCTTTCCACCAGTATTGTGAATACTTAATAATAAAGTGTTTTTCACGTGGTTTTCATTTTTTATAAAATTAATTTTAACGCCTATTCTAGCTCATTTTTATTTTGGTGATTGTTCGTTCGACATTTATTTAAACAATCATAAATATCAATTCAGATCCTGTGGCCTTAAACATTTCAGAAATTTTACCACTAAATTATATGCTAAAAATGTTGCAACCGATACGTGACACTGAAAATTTCGTACCACATTTCGAAAGAATGTTGTCTGATTAGAGGTACCCGTTCTTCGATTTTATTGTGCCGCTACCCATAATGTTAACTCATGTGACACAATCAAAACCTGAACCTGCACAACTCAGCCTAATTCAAGGTGCAGTCATGATGAAACTCACCCGCGCAATTTCACCGTCAACCCCAGTATAAAAGCCGATCACAATTCTCGAATAGCCAGTACAATCCAGTTGACAATCAGGCAACAGCAATGGCATTCAAGGTACAATCATCACCTTAAAACCATTGGATTTTCCAATAACAAATTTTCCTTTTCAGCTCGTGGTCCTCAGCGCTTTACTCGCTTACGCCAGTGCTGGTCTGGTCAGCGCTCCAGCCACCCTCTCCCACGCCCCCATCTCCTATGGAGCCGCCCCCATCTCCTATGGAGCCGCTCCCATCGCCTACGGAGGCTATGCAGCCCCCATTGCTCGTGCTTCATTGGCTGTAGCCGCCCCCATCGCCCCAGTAGCCCGTGTTGCCGCTCCAGTCGCCGTCGCCGCTCCCATTGCCCGTGCCGTAGCCGCCCCCATCGCCCCCGTAGCCCGTTATGCCGCTCCCGTCGCCGTCGCCGCTCCCATCGCTCGTGCCGTAGCCGCTCCAGTTGCCGTCGCCGCCCCCATCGCTCGTGCCGTAGCCGCCCCAGTTGCCGTCGCCAAGACCGTCGTCGCTGACGAATACGACCCCAACCCACAGTACTCTTTCGGATACGACGTCCAAGACGGTTTGACCGGAGACTCCAAGAGCCAGGTTGAATCCCGCTCCGGAGATGTCGTCCAAGGCAGCTACTCCCTCGTTGATCCCGATGGCACTCGTCGTACCGTCGAATACACCGCCGACCCCATCAACGGATTCAACGCTGTAGTCCACAGGGAACCCCTTGTCGCTAAAGTCGCCGCCCCAGTCGCCGTCGCTGCCCGTGTTGCCGCCCCAGTCGCTGTAGCTGCCCCAGTTGCCCGTGTTGCCGCCCCAGTCGCCGTCGCTGCCCGTGTTGCCGCCCCAGTCGCTGTAGCTGCCCCCATTGCTCGTGTTGCCGCCCCAGTTGCCGTAGCTGCCCGTGTTGCCGCCCCCGTGGCTGTAGCTGCCCCAGTTGCCCGTTATGCCGCTGTAGCTGCCCCAGTTGCCCGTTATGCCGCTGTTGCCTCTCCAGTCCTCCGTACTGCTGCCTATGCCGCCCCAGTAGCTGCCCACTACGCCGCACCCATCGCTACTTCCTACGCCGCACCCATCGCTACTTCCTACGCCGCACCCATCGCTACTTCCTACGCCGCCCCCATCGCTAAGGTCCACGCTCCCTTAGCTTACTCCGCCTCTGTTCTCCACTAAGGACTGATTGTTTGTTAATTGTTTATTTATTATGTTTGAGAATAAATATTGATATGAGTCAATAGTAAAATTTAGTTTCATTTATGGGGTCGTTCAATTTGAACACAGTTGTACGTAATAGCTTCATTACGCATTGCTATGCGTAATACCTGGTTTATAAATTGAGTTTTTACCTTAGGCATCTCAGAATGCTTTGAAATTTTCCAAACGTTTTAAGGTTATAGAAAGCATGGTGAATATTTAATCAAAATATACTACCTCATGCCCCTCGCCCCCCCCTCCCTTAGGAATTGATGATGTCATCTTAAAATTTTTTATTATAACTAAAACAAAAATCAAAATTGTAGATATTTGCACCAATTTTTCAAATTTTCGATTTTTCGGTTTTCTGATTTCTCAGATTTTCGATATTGCAATTTAAGAATTTAAGTTTTTTATTCTTCAACGTTTCGAGTTATCAATTGAACCTGTCGATTTCTCGGTTTTTTTATTTTTTGGTTTCTCAGTTTTTCGATATTTTTTTGCGATTTTTCAATTTTATGATTTTTAAAATTTTTACATTACTAATTTTTTCGATATCTCGATTTTAAAGTTTTTCGATTCCTCGGTTTTCCGATAGGTATATCAGTTTTTCAATTTTTCAATATATCAGTTTCGGGATTTTTTCAATATTTGCGTCCCTCAATTTTTAGATCTTTCAATTTTTATTATTCCTAAAATATATTTAAAACTTCATAAGCATCAGTTCAGCACTTTTGGAAACTAAGTATTTGTCTAAAAAAAATTGCAACAGTCGACGGACAGTCGGAAACGGAGAACCTACTCTTTCATACTCTAGGGTTATAAAACGGATGGATTCTATTACTTTTATAAAAATAGGGTTAGCAATACCATGAGTGAAGACAATAGAAATGTAAACTCCTCTGCACAGATTTTTTATTTGAAAGAACCTTTTTTCGTAATTAACATTGGACTTTTGTGTCTCGGCTGTCACGTGAAAGCAAACTCGCACCACAGTTTTATGCAAAACCGAGAAAGCAAAGAAAAACGATGATGGCAAGATAATTCCATTTTGTTCTCTCAACCAAAGAATTATTTATTTAAACCCGGCCCGAAAAACTGCTCCTATTGAATAAAAGATCTACAAATATCAATGTACAAACGAGATTCGTTATCTTTTACAAATCCTATGAAAGAATTTTTTTTTGTTGCTTTATCCAATTACAGAGTTTCAATTCATTCGTTTTCGGCATTATAGTACTTTATTAATGGTATTATTTTCGTATGAATAATTTCAGTTCTTTGCATGTAGCTCTCCCCGTATGATTTTTTAAAACTTGTTTGCGAATAAACCGCGTTAATGCAAATGTTGGGCAAGAGATCGACTATTACCACATATTTTTAATTATTGTTATTAATTATACCGGTTTCTTAAATTGTTAGATTTTTCAGAAGCTTGAATGTGACATTAAGGTCAAGTACAGTGACATTTTTTCATTTCATTGACTATGCGCGATTACAACACTGTCGTATTTTTTGCCCTCTTAATTTTGTTTAAAGGTTGTGGATTTAATAAAATGCTGGTAATTAAATGGAACATAAAAAAAATCATTACCAAGTGAGTGTTAAAAGATGTGAGGAATGGGTGTGAACAGGACAGGATTCGTAAAAGTTACAATTTTTTCCATAGATAGAAATAGAGATGTTGAAAATTGGGTGGTACACTATCAATTCTTGTAGTTGCTGTGTCACTGTACTAATAAATATTTATATTTACATAAATTTATTTTTTTAATCAACGTTTTACGCAGCCTTAGGAGTTTTCAGATTCCGAGGAACGATGATTTATATAACATAATTAACGCAGTCATGCACTAGTTTCCTAGTTCGGGTTTTATCTAGACCTTCGCTAAAAAAGTGACAAGGCTACAAAGCTGTTGCTAGGGTCGCCCATTTGGACTCTACACTATTAAAATGTATGTATGCATCCCCTGCAGAAAACTAATGACGTCATCTCAAAACTCATTAAAAAATTTTGGACATTTCTGGATCGACCAACCAAAATATGGACAACATCTGCAAAATTTACAATAAGAAATTTGTTTTTTTTAAATAGGATAAAATAAGTGTCCAGCTTTCATTTTAAACATTCAACTTTTTGGAAAAAAATCAAAATTTTATAACAACATTTTGCGATTTTGAAACAGGAAAACCGAATACTATGAAATTTTACAAACGTTTTAAGGTTATCGTTAGCATGGTAAATCGTTCAAATCAAAATTTATTCGATTATCCCCTCCCAAAAAATTATGACGACATCTCAAAATTTTTCCAAATAAATCCTGTCTAAAATATGGAAAATATTACGATGACTCGTTTTAATCAGAATTTTTTGTATTTTTTTATTTCTTTTTTATTTTGCAATTTTTCCATTTTTTCAGTGTTTCGGTTTCATAACTTTTCAATTTTGCAATTTTTACATTTTTCAAATTTTCGCTTCCACAAATTCTCAAGTTCTTGATTTATATTTTTTAAATTAATTTTCCGGATTTTATATGATAATTTTTCGTTTTTCATTTCCTTTATTTTCTCATTGTTTCTTTCGATTTTATAGTTTTTCGTTTATTTGGTTCTGTAAATTTTCCATTTTCAATTCCTGGATTTTCCTATTTTTAAATTTTTCAATTTTGCAATTTCTGGTTTTCGCAATTATCGGATTTTCCAATTTCTTGAATTTGCAATATTTCGATGTACAATATTTAGTTTTTTATATTTTGCAGTTTTTGATTTTTAAGTTTCTAATTTTTAAATCTTGCAACTTTTCAATTCTTCGTTTCTTCAATTCTTGATTTTTAATTTATAGATTTTTCAAAATTTTTATTTTATAACTTTTCGTGTTTTCATTTTTGATTTTCCAATTTTCCCATTTTTTAGAACAGTTGAAAAATCGAAAAAATAATAAAATCTGAAAAAGTAAGAAATTGAAAAACTGAAAAAACAAAAAATGCAAAATTGAAAAAGTGGAAGATTGAAGAAATGAAGAAACAAAAATTTGAAACATTAAAAAGCAAAAAAATAGTGGCTTGAAAAATTGGAAGAAAGAAAAAACGAATCGAATCGAAAAAAAGGAAAATTTAAAAATTGTGAAATCGAAAAATCAAAGAGTTGTCAAAATTGTAAAGTCTAAAAACTGTAATACCGAAAAATAGAAAAGGTGAGAAATCAAATATTGAGAAATTGAAAAATCAAAATTGAGAATTTGAGAAAAAACGAATAAATGAGTAAGTGTTAAAATCCAATAATTGAATAATGAAAAAAATCTAAAATCATAATATTGAAAAAGTGAAAATGTTTTTAACTTGTAGTTATTATTAGATACACACTTAAAATGGAAATCAGAAAAATTGCAAACCTTAAAGTGAAGAAATGAAAAACTGAAAAATTTAAAATTGAAAACACAAAAAAAATCAAAATTCCATAACTTGAAAACTCAATGAAAATAGAAAAATTAGAAAATCAGGACATTAAAAAAACGAGAAATTGAAAAAATAAAGAAAACAAAAAATTTAAATGAAAAACTACAAATGGAAAACTTAAAAAAATGAAAAATTAAAAAACTAAAAATTAAAAAATTAACAAGATTTAAAATTTAAAATAAAAATTGAAAACTCATGAAATTGCAAATGGAGGAATATGCAAAACCTAAAGACTGAAACATCCAAAAGTTAGAAAATCGGTAACCTGAAAAATTTAAAAGTAAAAAATTGAAGAGATCCAAATCAAAAAATTAAAAAATGGAAAATTAAAAAAATTTGAATTCAATGAAGAGAAAATTATGATAGCAGAACAATGAAAAATCGAAAACTTGTAAAAATACAGAAAATGGAAAACCGAAAAGAATCATTGTGAAGAAATGGAAAACTAAAAATTGAAAAAGTTATGAAGTTGCAAATACTTAATTAAAAAATGGAAACTGAAAAAACAGAAGATTATAAAATCGGAACACTGAAATTTTGAAAAATCTAATAAATGAAAAATTAAAAAATTTTAAAGATTATAATCATTATTGGATACATGTTTAAAATGAAAACTAAAAAAATTGCAAATCAAAAATTGAAGAAATGAAAAATTGAAAAATTGAGAAACCGAATTTTCCAAATTTTTAAAAACTGAAAAATAGCAAATCGAAAAATTGAACAGTCTCAAAAAATTTGAAAATTTCACATTGAAAAAAGAAAAAATCAGAACACTGAAAAGGCGAAAAATTGAAAAAATAAAGAAAATAAAAATCGAAAAAAAATTTAAAACTCCAGAAATTTTAAAGTGAATTGAAGAAATAAAAAAAATGATACATTGAAAAAACGCAAATCGAAAATTGCAAATACGAAAAACTGAAAATATTAAAATTGAATAAACAAAAAATTAGAACAAACATTTAGATATCGAATAATTGAAAAAATTGAGAAAATAAAAAATCGAAAAGGAAAAGTGCAAATCGACAAATTTAAGAAATGAGAAATATAAAAATTAAAAAAAAAAATCAAGAAATCGAAATATCAAAAGATCGAAAAATCGAAAAGTTGAGAAGTCGAAAAATTGCAAAAAGGAAACAACAATCTTGATAAAACGGGAAGTATTTAGAAGAAATTGAAAAATCGAAAGAACAAAAAATCAAAATATTTAAAATCCGAAAAATCCAAGGATCGATAGATTGGAACATCAAAAAAACTGAAAAATCAAAAAATTAAAAATTCGAAAAATTGTATAAACGAAAAACTGAAAAATCGAAAAATCCTGGAATCGATTAATCAAAAATTTAAAAAACTGAAAATTCGAAAAATTGAAACATCAGAAAATTGGAAAATTGAAAAGTCGCAAAATTGAAAAACTGAAGAACCGAAATATTGAAAGATCCTAAAACTTATACATCAGTAAAACAGGAAATCGAAAAATTGAAAAATCGAGAATTCAAAAATTCAAAGATTGAAAAATTGAAAAAT